GGTTAGGCAAGGGCATGTGATATATTCTAATCAACGAATGCCATTTTCAAGAAAATATCTATATAACAAAAGAGACACAAATCCCTAGTAACTTGGCACACCCATCAAGAGTTATTCTATTCAACCCCAGTACAAAGAAATGATACAGTAGTTATATGTAGATTTTCCACTGTGCGGGAAGTTGATGTCTCTTATTCCCCACGTTGTTCAAGGGTCAACTGTACTACAGCTTTGAAATTCATTGTGATGAGATTCTTATTAGCTCATTAGACTGTGAGCTCTTCGGGGGGCAGAACTAGCCTGGAATCCCCACACACTAGATGCTCAATACATGTTTGCTAAATGGATGAATGAAGGACTGAGTGAATGAAGAACCATAATTTCAATATCATGTCTTGTTTAAATCATTTTTATTTTCCCTGCACATTTATATGAATGCTTTACTAATTTAGGCAGTTACTAAGTGAAAAAGACACTTTTATTCCTCATTGAGACTAGCAAAAATATTCTGGCTTCTCAAAGTCGGTTAACACGGAAAAAATGCCAGTGAGTTTTGCTTTCTGTTTCTGAATCCTATAAAAAGATGATCCAGGGAGAGCACACATCTTATATTTGAACGTAGTTTGTGGTTTTCTTCTTCCTCTGTTTGGGTTTGGTGGCTGAGGCTGTTATGGACTGAATGTTTGTAACCCCCACAATGCATACACTGAGGCCCTAGCCCCCAATGTGATAGTATTTGGAGGTGGGACTTTGGGGAGGTAATTAGATTTTGAAAAGGTCATGAGTAGAGACTCTGTGATAGGATTAGTGCCCTCATAAGAAAAGGAAGAGAAATCAGAGCTTCCTCTCTCTGCCATGTAAGGATACAGCTAGAAGGTAACTGTCTCCAAGACAAAAAGTGGCCCTCACCAAGAGCCAAATTGACTGGCACTTTGATCTTGGATTTCCCAGCCTCCAGAACAATGAGAAAAAATTTCTGTGGCTTTTAAGCTACCCAGTCTGTGGCATTTTGCTATAGAAGCCTGAGCTAAGACAGAGGCCAAATTCTCATCTTCTCTACCTCTATTAGAAATGTGGTATGATTTGCATGTCACAGTCACCTTCCCTTGCTTTCAGCAACCAGGCTAAGATTCTGCTGCCTCTTTAGGTAAATTAAGCAACATGTCCACTCAATGACCAGCCTGGCTCAACTACAGCAGCTCCCCCTTATCTGCAGGGGATACGATCCAAGACCCTCAGTGGATGCCTGAAACCATGGATAGAACCAAACGCTACACACACGATGTTTTTTCCTACACATACATACCCATGGTAAAGTTTAATTTATAAATCAGGCACAGTAAGAGATTAACAACAATAACTAATAATAAAATAGAGCAATTACAACAATAAACTATAATACAAGTTATGTGGCTATGGTTTCTCTCTGTCTCAAAATATATGATTGTACTGCACGCACTATGTGGATACACTGGACAAAGGGGTTATTCATGTCCCCCTTGAACATGAATGGGATGGCTTGAGATTTCATCACATTGCTGAGAGTAGCACACAATATAACATTTATGAATTATTTATTTCTGGAATTTTCTATTTAATATTTTTGGATCGAGGTTGACTGTGGGTAATGGAAACCTCAGAAAGGGGAACCATGGATAAGGGGGACTACTATATTTCCTAATGGTGGCAGTAAGGGTTTTTTTCTACCACCATTGTTGCATGGCATTGTTTGCTATTAAGCTACAACCCAGGTACAGTGTTCTTGGGTTTTGCACAATGCAAATAAACGAAAACTTTCGCTACATTCTAAGAGCTTCTAGTTTGAAAAAAAACCAGAGGGTTCAATTATTCAGCCACAGGTTTAACTTTTAAAAATGCTCTACATCATATTAAAACTCAGAACTATTTTTTTTTCTCTTGGCAAATACATTTAATACATTGCCCTGATTTGTATCTACCTGTAAGAGCAAATGCATTTTCCTGGAAACAAGGCATTTTGCATTGGCAGTGAGAGGAATAAATTCTTTAAGCACCCTTTAAGAAGTTTACTTGAAATTTTGGAGTCTCACACTGAAATGCTGACTATTAAATAGCAATCTGTTATATGCAATGCCAAATGAAAGTCTGCTGTAATAATTCACTGGATAAAGTGTAGTTTTTACATCATTTTGATAAATTTACCTCGCTTACTAGTTTAGCCACAAATCATATCTTAAAGGTTGTCAGATGAAGGCAGTAAAATATTATACACCTTCAGGTGACCTCTATCCAGAAATGCTTTTCACTGTTCACATTTTATCTGTCAAATAGCATTTTCTTTCAGAAGTAAATATAAATGCCATTATTGGGAGAAGCTACCGGCCTAGGACAAGTTCTAGCATTTAGTGTTCTGACAGATCTTAATTTGGATATCAGCCAAAGTCAATAAAACTTGTTCATGCAGAAACTTACCTGGTTTTCACCACATCCAGGGGGTGCATCAGGCAAATTTCTACAAGACCTGAAAGATGATAAAGAAAAGTCCAATAAACACTTATGTAAACACTGGTTCTTATTTCCTTGACCCTACTGATTTCTCAAGTATGAAGATTCAAATGAAAAACTTGGGACTTTAGACATGACAGCTCATCGTTTTTTAGGCGAGCAGCAAAAGACAAAAGTACAATATGATTTTATTGCAGTGGAAGCAAGATAGATGAGTGAGCGCTTACAGTGCCCTGGCACAAGCATGGGCCGGGGGAGGAGGGGCTACAGGGAAAGAACATGAGAAGGAGTCTCCTGTCCCAAATCTCAACCCACTAGGAAGGAATTACTGCATCTCAATCCAATCCAATGAATAAATATATGAGGAATGAAAGAAGGAAAGAAAGGACACAAGGTCTCGCAGCACCCCACCACCGCAGATCACTTACCAACATGGCAAATCATGAGTTTTGGTTTCCATATCCATGAAATAAAGATAACACTGATAGTTTACTGGAGAACATGTATTAAGTGTTTATTGTATCCTAGGCATTGTTCTACGAGTAGGCAGTACTTAGTTTATCTCACTGAAGACTCACAAGAGCTCTTTGTGATAAAAGGGGTTAGTATCCTCATTTCACAGGTGAGATGACATTGAGGCACACAAGGGTAAGTAACTTTCTAAGATCTCACATCTAGAAAGTCAGTAGTCTTAATCCCACCTAGCCCATGATCCCAACCATTGCACTGTGAGGAAGAATTTATACAGCTTCTTCAAATCAATTGTAAAGCCCCCTTCTGTTGTCTAACTGAGCAGAGAAGAGTAGTTGTAATAATCCTAACAGTTTCCTTACCTGCTGCCCCTACATGGTGATGGTCATTTAACATACATTATCTCTGATACTACAACTACTGGGCCGGGGCAGTATTATCATCACCTTTACTTGAAGATGAGCAAACTGGGGTTGACAGTATTAACTGATTTGCCCTAAAACCACCTAATAGTATTTGTGGTACCTTCAGGGAATTACACTTTACCCCTAGGAGCATCCGTTCCTTATCTGTAAAGGGAAAGGTTAAATGATCTATAATACCCTTGAGATCTAGTGTTCTATGTTTGTGTCTTGGTTCTTGCATCTTATCATTCTAATTTGTGATTTGTTTTATTTGCTAGAAGAGGTTGAAGCCTGGATGCCATAAATAAGATTTACTCTGGAAACTCCGATTTATAAAATAATGTGCTTACCAAGCACTGCAGCAGGTATCTACTAAGGGCATCTCATGAGCATAAAGGAATAAGACATGCAGAATCAGTTTACCAAAGAAAGAACATAAAGTCTCTCCCACTGACTTGGCATTAGAAGCAAAACAAAATAATAAACACCAAACAGCACTAGTTGGTGTATCTCTTATTTAAATTTTTTTTTTTATTGGCAAACAGCCATGGTCATTGGTTACATACTGCTTTCATGCTACAATGGCGCAGCTCATAGTGGTCCAAGCGGGGATTGAACAGGCAACCTTGGTGTTATCAGCACCACGCTCTACCCAACTGAGCTAACCAGTCACCCCCAGTAGGTATGTCTCTTCAAAAGTTTACCAAAAGAACCAATAATCCAGCAACTTATTAAAACTATCAATAGAACTTGGAGCATCTGTTCACATTAATAATATACATAAATTTGTCTATTTGCAAAATTGTTCTAGTACTTTTCTGCTAATGTGCATTTCTAGTAGTAAAATTTTAATAATTTCTATTTCTCAGAGAATAGTTATTTTCATTTGAGGCAACTGCTTATTTCTCACAATGGCAACTAAGCAAGAACCGCTATTAGATTTGTTTAAATTAGACAAAAGACTAATTTTATAAAGCTGGACCTTATACAAATTAAGGAAGCCCAAAGCAGATGGATATTGTGAATTTATCATATTGTAAATGTTTTCTAGGTCCTATAGATTCATACCACTTCAGTGAGCATGGCCATTTCTGTAAGATCCCAACAGAACTGGTAATATGACACTATCACAGGCACAGAAAAGCATGGGCGTGCACCTGAACTTGTACCTTGGGATAACCCCTGAATGCTCCCTTCTTTTAACTAGCTTAAGTACATGTCTTCATCTAAGCCAACATTTTGCAAAAAGAATTAACACCACCCTGTCGCAAACCTTCCTCTAGTGGCCATCTTTTCTGAGAAAGTTTCCTGGCCTGTTTAACCACAAAACTGCACTCAACATCAACCTTAGCCCTTTTCTCTTAAATAATGCAAGCCACCTCTTTTCCTAACAAAAGTACAAACACTATCATGCAATGGTCAGCCACGATTGAAGAAAGAAGTTTCTTCTAGTGTTTAATTCCCTGTGCTTTTCCTTTTCTCTGGAATGTTGTTCTCCTGTGAGGACATACACACTTCTAAGAATCCCACTTACCTTGAGATCTCAATGTGGGCAAACATTTTCCCATAAATCTGGGGCAGAGACTATTAGCAGTCCCCTACTATTTGTCCCCTGTTCTTCCTGGTGGCCCAGAATAAATATTGCATTTCCCAGCCTCCCTTGTTGCTAGTCATTACCATGTGACCGAGTTCTGGCCAATGGAATGTGAGAGTGGTTTCAGCAACTTCTGGTAAGTCTTCTAAAAGTAGGAAGCCTGCTCCTCTCCTCCTGTTTCCTCCTTCCTGTTGGTGGGATGTGGACATAGGGCTAGAGTAGCCATCATAGACCATGAGGTGACAACTGGGTATGCAGGACACACACAGCATAGCAACAAGATAGAAATAGCGCCTGTCATCATGGAGATGTGGCCTGTCTACCTCCAGACATTCATGTTGGAGAAAAATGTCCATTTCCTTTTTACTACAGCTATTAGGGTTTTCTGTCACTTGTGCCTGACTGTAATTCTAACTGACATAGGAACCCTTTTATGTGCTCCCACAGTACTCTGAATTTGGGTTATTACATGGCACTGAAACTGCTTTCTTGCCTGAAAGCTCCACCTGCTCTCTGAGGACAGAGACTCCACCTGCCTTAGTCACCTTTGCAGCCCAATCACTTTGTACAATGGCTGGCACTTGGTAAGCTCAATAAACATGTTGTATAAAAAATTAATGCTGACTAGGTTTACTGCACATGCCACTATGTCAGCTGATCCTCAAGATAAATTGAACTGGTATTTATTCTGCATTTATTATACTTTATTAGTTTTAACATTAGACAGATAAGCAAATAAGGACAGAAATATTGGTTAAAATTATGTGGAATAAAGCATAGGAAGTGCTTGAAAGGACATAAAATACAGAATTACAATATTGTTACTATGCGAGAAGGTTACTAATCCATCAGCACTTAGTGCATTGCCAACTGATTCTTGAGAACTATGAGCATGTGAGGGTCCTGTGCTAGGTGCTGGGGACATGGCCTGATGCAGTATCAAGGAGGCCTGAAAGGATGGGCAATTTCAGGTATGAGCACAGGTGTGAAACACTGAGAATGGCCTTACATGTCAAGGGGAGACACTGAGCAGAGAATAGAAACATGCATAAAACCATGTCTCAGGCCCAGTGATTTACAGCAGCTATTTGCAGTGTGAAGTGTTGTTATTTATGTTCTACACCAATTCTAGTCTTGCATAACAGTTTACTTTATCATCAGTTGTTGACTGTCTTCAAGGAACGATGTCACTGTTCTCATAAAACTAGTGTCAGAAAATATGGACACATATTTAAAATTTTTAAGTACAATTTTAATGATTCTGGGTGTTCCTTATATGTGAGATTACATGTCCTAAATCACAAGGTTGATTATGTGAAGGAAAGACCATTTAAAAATACATATGTCATATGTAAATAAATCTAAATCTAAATAAATCTCACCAGGAAGCAGTTCCTATAGTTTTCACTTACTTTGCCAATGACCACTGCAAGATATCTCATAACTCAATGATATCTTTTTCCCTCAGAACCACATTAAAGGTGTCACTTCCCAGAAAGGACAGGATTGTTCTTATTTGGGAGGTTTAAAATGCTTTTCACACAGCGGGGGCTGGGTGAAAAAGGTGAAAGGATTAAGAAGTACAAAATAGTAGTTACAAACTAGTCACGGAGATGTAAAGTACAGCGTAGAGAATAGTGTCAGTAATATTGTAATAACTATATGTGATGCCAGGTGAGTACTAGACTTAATGGAGGGATCACTTTGTAAACTATATAAATGTCTAACCATTATGCTGCACACCTGAAACTAATACAAAATAACATTGAATGTCAACTATAATTTAAAAATAATAAAAAAAGAAAATTAAGAAAATGCTTACAACATAAAGCAGAAGTCCCTCCCATTTTTTAAACCCATCCCTTTATAACCTGTGCCACAGAAGAGAGACAATGGAGAGTGTACTGCCACCTTGGTGGACTGACTGACTGTGAGACATGCCTCATATCTGCTCGTTCCTGATAGAATCCTCAAGTACAGAAACCAAGACTGCTGTCATCATCCCTGTGCCTTCTTTCCTGCTCCACCTCTGCCTTGACCCAGAAACAGCACTGCAGTGGGCGTCAGTAGCCTTTTTAGCAACAGGATGGGGGAATGGGGAAGACAAATTGGGTGCTCGAAAGTTGACGTGAACATAGTTTATTAAAGACTAATGTCCAGCAACAACTAGTGTCCTTCATAATTAAAAACAACATTTAAATGGAATTTATCTCTCGTACCTACAATCTTACTACCTAAAATGAAAAAACAAAAAAAACAATCAACAAAATACAAAATATAGGCAGTTGCACTGTATCCACATGTATAGGAAAATGTTCTCCCCAGTTAGTGAATTTCAAAGGTTGTTGGACACACTAACAGTAGTGGTATAATTAGGAATTTTATGAGATTGAAATTCAGACCAATTTGGCTTTAACTCTTGCTACATATTACATAATCTTGAGTGAACTATTTCATCTCTGATTTATTGCTTCCTCTTTAGTGGGAATAATAAATTGTACAGTTCTATGAGCCCTACATACCGTAATGTATGTAAGTGACATTATA